AATTACACTCTGACGGGAAAAGCTGTGAGGTTGCTTGTGGTGGTTCTCTTACGGCACTAAATGGTGTGATTCAGTCGCCATCTTTTCCTAATGAGTACCCTTCAAACAAACAATGTACTTGGGAAATTGTTGCTCCTGTCGGGCATGTTGTACTTTTAAATTTCACTCATTTCGATATAGAAGGAGATAATTTGACACGTTCGATTAAAAATAAGTGCGAAAAGGACAAGTTGGATGTTTTTAGCGAAAGTGAAAATGTGACGAAACACTTAGGTACTTATTGTGGGAGTGGACTACCAGATCGGGTTATATCTGAAAGTACTAACACGAAGATTGTGTTTTTTTCGGATAGTACTGTTGAAACAAAAGGGTTTGCTTTAAGGTATTCTATGGTTAGAGACAAATGTGACAAGTTTAAAGGTAATTGTCACCACGGGTGTGTTAACTTGGATACAGGTCGTAAGTGTCTTTGTCCAGAAACGTACGTTTCCGTGGATTCCGTCAACTGCAAAAAAGATTGTCATTACGAAATCGCTTCTGTTGGGGGGACAATTTTTAGTCCTAATTATCCCGGTAGCTACTACAATAATGCAAACTGCACTTGGAAATTTAAAACTACACCTGGTCATAGAATACAAATCAGTTTTCTTGATATACATACTGAAAACTGTCATGATTACATTAACGTTTATGACGATTTTTCATCAAGGGTGCCTCTTTTGGAAAAACTTTGTGGTACTAAAACAGGCTACACTAGATGGTCCACGAAAAACGAACTATACGTCAATTTTATATCAGATGGTTCGAATGTTTATAAAGGTTTCCAAGCGATATATTCGTCTCTATGTGGTGGTACTTTGACCGCTGCCACCACTGAAAAGTACATTTATTCTCACGATACGTATGGTCTTTCGAACTACCACAACAATACTGACTGTGTTTGGACTATTAGGGTGGACTCCGGCTATTACGTAAATCTGTCAGTTGAGGTTTTTGAAATTGAACCTTCTGTTGATTGCATTTACGACTTCATAGAAATTCGAGAAGGTCATACCTCACGTGGAAAATTCTGTGGTGTTATCGTAAGTAGTTAAATTGTCCTGATTTTAACGTCTTCATTTTGTTTTTACTTTAGAAACCTGAAGAACAATTGCTATCGAGTAGTAATTTCACAGTGAAATTTCACACAGATTCTACTGTAGATGCAAGAGGTTTTCGACTAATGTATAAAGCTGTACGAGCTGAAGAAGTCCGTGTTAATTAATTACAAACTTTTTGTTAAAAGTTAATTTGAATAAAGTTGTTCCATAGAATATTAGAACATTTTTGGATGGCTTTTTTGTGATACCAAGTACACTTTGGTTTATTATGACAGAATTGTTACGTCGATCGATGATTAAAAATCGGCGTGGGTAAAACTCCACAATTTATTTCACACGACTAATCATACTGCGATTATGTACACAATAATTCCGACCGGAATGGATTTGACTAGACTAAACTTTCGTCATTCCTGGACTTCACTGACTGATGAGTCACCCATCATCGCCGCACATTCTAGATAACCCATAGGCGTCGTATCGGGGCGGCGTATAGGGTTATTTCGTAACAGTATTTATATTGTTATTTTTTAAGTGAAGCTACCTACTGAAAAACAAGTTGAGCCTATGTAAAATGTATGTATGCACTGTGAAAATAATTGCAGTATGTGTAGTGAGTCAGATGTGTGCACAAAGAGTGACTATATCGAATTCAAGGACACATTGTACGTAAATTGTTTGTCAAATTTCGTGCTTGCTATTTACATACACACCAAATGTTTGTAGTTTTTTGTGACGTTTTGAATTGCTTGGCGAAGGGAATGGGTTTTACCTACTCTTCTACAGAATATTCCTTGTTAGACAATACAATATTAAGTTTTGCGCAACTCCCTAGGGGTTTAATAAATTTATCTAGGAAAACAGTACACATTTTGTAAGGAAAAAATGCTGAAAGGTGGTAAATCTAAAATGTTTGTTAAAGTAGACAAAAATACATAAAACAATTTCTTAATCGTTGTTTGTTCAACTCATTCTAATTAGGTATATATAAAAGCTTACACATTATCATTTTTCCTATTGTCAAAATGGTTGCACTATACTTACTACTGTCTGTAGTAGTGGTTACACTACAGACCTGCCATTCTCTGCTTCCACTCACCAGTAAGTACCACACTAATTTCTCCATTTATCAAAGTTTGTTCTCAACTTTTAGCTTGCCATACCACGTTCAAACAAAAATCGGGAACGTTCTTTTCCCCCGCATTTTACAAACCGAACACCACCAACACCGAAAAATGTAAATGGCGCATTTTAGTATCTCCAGATGAAAAAATTGTCCTTAATGTAACTGTGATCGACATAGAAAAGACACCAAATTGCAACTCGGGTAACCTAGAAATACGAGATGGTCTCTGGCAAGATTCTCCCCTTCTTGGAAAATATTGTGGAACAGGTTCCCTAAACCTCATATTCTCCACAGCTAATAAAATGTTAATTTCGTACGAGCACCGAGTAGGTAATAAAGGATTTCTAGGAGAATATAAAGCGTTTTGTGGAGAGGAAATATATGTACGAAGTGAGTTTATTTTACATTCGAATGAACTCCAAGAAAAGTACCCTCGTAACAAAAAATGTATTTGGAAAGTGACAGTTCCAATCAACCATCAAGTCGTGGTGAGAAGTGAAAAATTCCAAATAGAATATGAAACACACTGCAGGTACGACTATGTGGAGTTTTATGATTCCAATAGTACTGCTCTTGGAAGATTTTGTGGTGAGGAACTTTCAGAAAATATCACTTCGACTTTAAACACGCTTACGATTAAATTCGTCTCAGACAACACTATTCAGAAAGAAGGTTTTTCTTTCTTACTTTTGGCAGATTACGACGAATGCGTAACCAAAGAACACCAATGTGCTCATGAGTGTATTAATACCGTTGGTAGTTATAAATGTGCTTGCCGAAGGGGCTATAAATTACGAAGAGATGGCAAAAGCTGTGAAACCGAGTGTGGTGGAATTTTGGACGCCTTAAATGGTACGATCCGTTATTCGTCCTCGTTCCCTCGGGAGTACTCGCAAAACACAACTTGTATATGGAAAATCGTCGTTCCTGCTGATAACGAAATACATCTAAGTTTCTCTCATTTTGATATAAAAGGAAATAACAATAATGATTCTATTAGTGAAAAGTGTGAAAACAATAAGTTAGAGGTTTTTAATGAGGAGGAAACGGACACACAACTTTTAGGTACTTATTGTGGAAGAGTCTTGCCAGATCTTGTTGCATCTCAAGGTAGTACTATGAAGATTATTTTGTCTACGGATAACAGTGTGGAAAGGATTGGGTTTGCGTTAAACTATTCTACAGTTGGAAATAAATGTGACAAGTTTGGAGGTAATTGTCATCATCGATGTGTCAGTCTGAACACATATCGTAAATGTATTTGTCCAGAAAATTACACGACAGAAAACAACGTCGACTGTAACAGAGGTTGTCATCACGAAATAGCCTCACCTTCGGGAATAATATCTAGTCCTAATTACCCTAATTACTATCCGAATAATGCAAACTGCACTTGGAGATTTAAAACAACACCAGGGCATAGAATACAAATCGTTTTTTCTGATATCCAAACTACAGATTGTGACGATTACGTCAGGGTTTATGATAATTATTATCCATCGAATGCGAGCATTTTGTTAGAAGTTTGTGGTAATAAAACGAATATCACTGGATTGTCCACCACAAACGAATTATCTGTCAATTTTATCTCAGACTCTTTGAACGTTTATCAAGGTTTTAATGCCACATATTCGTCTGTATGTGGTGGTAATTTGACTGCTAGTACCACCGAAAAGTACGTTTATTCTCACGATACGTATGGTCTTTCGAACTACTACGACTACACTGATTGTGTTTGGATTATCAAGGCAAACTCCGGGTATTACGTCAATCTGTCGGTTGAGGTTCTTGATATTGAATTTTCTTCGTATTGCAATTTCGATTTTATAGAAATTCGAGAAGGTGATATTTCACGTGGAAAATTCTGTGGTAATGAGGTAAGTAGTTGAATTGTTCAGATTTTAACGTTTTTATTTTGTTGTTTTTTTTTAGAAACCTGAAGAATTCCTGTCGAGCGATAATTTTACGGTAAAATTTCACACAGATTATAGTGTAGCTAAAAGAGGTTTTCGACTTATGTATAAAGCTGTACGATCTGAAGAGGTCCACCTTAATTAATTACTTTTTCAAAAGTTCATTTGAATAAAGTTGGTCCACAGGATAATAAAACATGAAAAATTATGTTTCCTGTTTCCGTCTGTCTGTCATCTGGTTGTCTGTTGGCGATTTTATTGACATGTAACTTGGTCGAAAGTGATTTCGACACAATTTCCCTCACCCTTGAAGTACATTAGAACAAATCCAGAATCCAGCTTTTTCAAAAATCATATCATTTTTTCCTTTCCAACATAACCTTATTCAGTGTGATAGTGCGGCAGTTTTCCGAACGGATAGGAATTAGGTGTCACAACATTATTGCTTAACACCAATTTTTTTCACACTAGAATTTCAATATTAACATTATCAAAAGCTAAAAATAATACAAAGAAGATTGTTGATTTTAATGTTTAAATATTTACAAATATAAAATCAAGGGGAATACCCACCCTAGACTAATATAAATAAAAATATTTTGATAGTTTACACATCGTCAACTGACCTTCAAACCCATCCTGATAACAAACTGCAAACACAGAAACATCCAATTAAGCATTACAATCCTGAAAATGTTTTTGTTGTGTACAGTCTTTTTAGCAACAATCCTTAATTTCAACAACTGTAATTGTCTTCTTCCAGTTACCAGTAAGTATACTAAATCTCTCATCTCATTATCAAGAGTACTCCCTGGGGTACTCAAACATAAAAACTGTTCGATACTTCGCAATTTTTTGCAGCTTGCGGTACCACTTTATACACAAAAACGGGAACTTTTTCTCCACCCACATTTTATAAACCCAACAACAGCAACCCCGAAACTTGCAAATGGCGCATTCTCACATCTCCGGATGAAAAAATCACCCTCAACATAACACAACTCGACATCAAAAAGACACCCAGTTGCATTTCGGGGTATGTTGAAGTACGAGATGGGCTGTGGGAGGATTCTCCTCTCCTTGGAAAATTCTGTGGACGGGGTACTCTAGATCCCGTTACCTCCACGAAAAACAAAATGTTAATTTCGTACGTACACCAAGCAGGTTATAGAGGGTTTTTCGCAAACTATGAAGCTACCTGTGGGGGTGAAGTGTACGTGCGAAACGAGTTTGTTTTGCACTCGAGCCACCCTCAGGAAAAGTACCCCCTTAACATAAAGTGCGTTTGGAAAGTAGTAGTACCGGACTTCCACCAAGTGGTACTGAGCTTCCAGAAATTCAAAATAGAACACCACGATCAGTGTTTGTTTGATTATGTGGAGATTGACGATTCGAATGGTACTTCTCGTGGGAGGTTTTGTGGCGACGTACTTCCAGGTAATGTTACTTCGTCTTCGAACAACCTTACGATTAAATTGGTGTCAGATGCCTCTATTCAAAAGGAAGGTTTTTCTGTTTTTATTTTGGCGGAGTTTGATGAATGCACAACTATGCTGCACGACTGTGCCCAAGAGTGCATTAATACCATTGGTACATACAAATGTGCCTGTAGAAAAGGATACGAATTACACCCTGACGGGAAAAACTGTGAAGTTGCCTGTGGTGGTCCTCTTAAGGCACTCAAAGGTGTGATTCAGTCGCCATCTTTTCCTAATAAATACCCCCCAAATAAACGCTGTAGTTGGGAAATTGTTGCTCGTGTCGACCGTGTCGTACTTTTCAATTTCACTCATTTTGATATAGAAGGACACAATAGGACACACTCGATTAAAGAAAGGTGCGAAAAGGACAGGCTGGAATTTTTTGGCGAAAGTGAAAATGTGACGAAACACTTAGGTACTTACTGTGGGAGTAGACTACCAGTTCCGCTTATATCTGAAAGTACCAGGACGAAGATTGTCTTTTTTTCGGATAATACTGTTGAAAGAAAAGGGTTTGCTTTAGAATATTTCGTAATTAGAGATAAATGTGACAAGTTTAAAGGTAATTGTCATCACGGGTGTGCTAATGTGGTTACAGGTCGTAAGTGTCTTTGTTCGGAAACGTACGTTTCCATGGATTCCGTCAACTGTAGAAAAGACTGTCATTACGAAATTGCTTCTACTTCAGGAACAATTTTTAGTCCTAATTATCCCGGCAGCTATTACAATAATGCAAACTGCACTTGGAAATTTAAAACTACACCAGGCCATAGAATACAAATCAGTTTTCTTGATGTACAAACTGAAAACTGTCACGATTACATTAATGTTTATGATGATTATTCATCAAGTGTGCGCATTTTGGGAAAACTTTGTGGTACTAGAACAGGCATCACTGGATTGTCCACGAAAAATGAACTATATGTCAATTTTATATCAGACGGTTCGAATGTTTATCAAGGTTTCAAAGCGACATATTCGTCTCTATGTGGTGGTACTCTGACCGCTACCATCACCGAAAATTATATCTATTCTCACGATACGTATCGTCTTTCGAATTACTACAACAACACTGACTGTGTTTGGACTATAAGGGCAAATTCCGGGTATTACGTAAATCTGTCAGTTGAAGTTCTCGAAATTGAAGGTGTTTCTGATTGTTCTCTCGATTTTATGGAAATTCGAGAGGGTCATATTTCACGTGGAAAATACTGTGGTGTTAACGTAAGTACTTGATTTGTTCAGATTTCAACGTTGTTCTTTTTCTTTTCAGAAACCTGATGAAGAATTGCTATCGAGTAGTAATTTTACGGTAACATTTCACACAGATTATCTTAGAGAAGCAAGAGGTTTTCGATTAATGTATAAAGCCATACGAGCTGAAGAAGTTCGTGTTAATTAATTGCCCACTTTTTGTTAGAAGTTCATGTGAATAAAGTTACTCATAGGGTATTAGAATATTGTTACGAAATAAACCCATACGCCGCCCCGGCTACGACGCCAATGGGTCTTCTAATAAGTTTGCGTTTCTTTTAGTGTGTAGCATGACTCATCGGTGACAGCGGCCGGCGCTCGCTAGAGAAAGGCCTGGAACCGGAAGTCGCGATGGATTCCAGAAAGACCTGGACCACGAAACTTCTAGAGGAGAGTCTGGCTTTAAATAGAGGCCGCCGTCGGGAACGGTATTCATTCGATCGAATTCAGTCAGCGAGTGTCGGGAAAATCCAGACAAGAAGCGCCGGAATTATTTAGTGTGTAATCGTTGTAACAGTCGTGTATATTCCATTTTGTAAGAAACAAATTGTTGAGTTTTAATCCACGGCAATTTTTATTCGCCCGCCCTACGTAATAATATTGTTACTTTTTAAGTGAAGTTATCTACTGAATAACTGAATGAGTTTGTCAGATTTTTTTGTTTGTTATTTTCATATATATCAAGTGTTTTTAGTTTTTTGTGAGGTTTTGAATGGCTTGGCGACGAGAGGAATAGATTTTACCTACTCTTCTACAGAATATTCCTTGTTAGACAAAAGAGCATTAAGTTCTAATGCTAATTTTAAAAGAATTATTATATCGGAACCAAATTTCTGTTATGTCATAGCAAACCTAGATCTAAAAAACTCTCTATGAATTTAATAAATTTATTCAAGAGGACAATGATCTTTTTGTAACGAAAGAATGCTCAAAGGTGGTAAATCTAAAATGTTTGTTAAAGTATTCAGAAATCCTTAAATACACATTTACTAATTTTGCAGTTTCTTAATCGTAGGTAGTTCGTTCAACTCGTTCTAATTTTACCCAACATATAAAAGATTACAGATTAGCATTTTTCCAGTTGTCAAAATGCTTGCACTATACGAACTACTGTCTGTAATAGTGATTACACTACAGATCTGTCCTTCTCTAGTTGCACTCACCAGTAAATACCACATTAATGTCTCCATCAAAGTTTGATCTAGACTTTTTCAGCTTGCAATACTACCTTCAATCAAAGATCGGGAACGTTCTTTTCCCCCGCATTTTACAAACCGAACACCACCAATATCGAAAAATGTAAATGGCGCATTTCAGTATCACCTGATGAAAAAATTGTACTTAATGTAACTGTGATCGATATAGAAAAGACACCAAATTGCAACTCGGGTAACCTAGAAGTACGAGATGGTTTCTGGGAAGATTCTCCTCTTCTTGGAAAATATTGTGGAAATGGTTCCCTAAACCTCATAGCCTCCACAACTAATAAACTGTTAATTTCGTACCAGCACAGAGTAGGTTATAGAGGATTTCTAGGAGAATACGAGGCGATTTGTGGAGAAGAAATATATGTACGAAGTCAGTTTATTTTACATTCGAATGAACCTCAAGAAAAGTACCCTCTTAATAGAAAATGTATCTGGAAAGTGACAGTTCCAGTCAACCATCAAATCGTGCTGAGAAGCCAAAAATTCCAAATAGAATATGAAGAACGCTGTATGTTCGATTATGTGGAGTTTTATGATTCCAACAGTACTGCTCTTGGAAGGTTTTGTGGTGAGGAACTTTCAGGAAATATCACTTCGACTTTAAACACGCTTACTATTAAATTCGTCTCAGACGATTCTGTTCAAAAAGAAGGTTTTTCTTTCTTACTTTTGGCAGATTACGACGAATGCGTAACCAAAGAACACCAATGTGATCATGAGTGTATTAATACCATTGGTAGTTATAAATGTGTTTGCCGAAGGGGCTATAAATTACAAATAGATGGCAAAAGCTGTGAAATCGAGTGTGGTGGAATTTTGAACGCCTTGAATGGTGCGATTCATTCGTACTCGTTTCCTCAGGAGTACCCACGAAACACAACTTGTATATGGAAAATCGTCGTTCCCGATGATAACGTAATACATTTAAGTTTCTTTAGTTTTGATATAAAAGGAGATAGCGATAATCATTCTTTTAGGGAAAAGTGTGAAAAGAATAAGTTAGAGATTTTTAATGGGGAGGAAACTGACCCACAACCTTTAGGTACTTATTGTGGAAGTGTCTTGCCAAATCTTGTTGTATCAGAAGGTAGTACTATGAAGATTATCTTCTCTACGGATAACAGTGTGGAAAGAAGTGGGTTTGCTTTAACCTATTCTACAGTTGGAAATAAATGTGACAAGTTTGGAGGTAATTGTCATCATCGATGTGTTAGTCTGCAGACATATCGTAAATGTATTTGTCCAGAAAATTACACGACAGAAAACAACCTCGACTGCAGTAGAGGTTGTCATTACGAAATAGCCTCACCTTCGGGAATTATATCTAGTCCTAATTACCCTAACTATTATCAGAATAATGCAAACTGCACTTGGAGATTTAAAACAACACCAGGGCATAGAATACAAATCGTTTTTTCTGATATACAAACTACAGATTGTGACGATTACGTCAGGGTTTATGATAATTATTATCCATCGAATGCGAGCATTTTGTTAGAAGTTTGTGGTAATAAAACGAATATCACTGGATTGTCCACCACAAACGAATTATCTGTCAATTTTATCTCAGACTCTTTGAACGTTTATCAAGGTTTCAATGCCACATATTCATCTGTATGTGGTGGTAATTTGACTGCTAGTACCACCGAAAAGTACGTTTATTCTCACGATACGTATGGTCTTTCGAACTACTACGACTACACTGATTGTGTTTGGATTATCAAGGCAAACTCCGGGTATTACGTCAATCTGTCGGTTGAGGTTCTTGATATTGAATTTTCTTCGTATTGCAATTTCGATTTTATAGAAATTCGAGAAGGTGATATTTCACGTGGAAAATTCTGTGGTAATGAGGTAAGTAGTTGAATTGTTCAGATTTTAACGTTTTTATTTTGTTGTTTTTTTTTAGAAACCTGAAGAATTCCTGTCGAGCGATAATTTTACGGTAAAATTTCACACAGATTATAGTGTAGCTAAAAGAGGTTTTCGACTTATGTATAAAGCTGTACAATCTGAAGAGGTCCACCTTAATTAATTACTTTTTCAAAAGTTCATTTGAATAAAGTTGGTCCACAGGATAATAAAACATGAAAAATTATGTTTCCTGTTTCCGTCTGTCTGTCATCTGGTTGTCTGTTGGCGATTTTATTGACATGTAACTTGGTCGAAAGTGATTTCGACAGAATTTCCCTCACCCTTGAAGTACATTAGAACAAATCCAGAATCCAGCTTTTTCAAAAATCATATCATTTTTTCCTTTCCAACATAACCTTATTTAGTGTGATAGTGCGGCAGCTTTCCGAACGGATAGGAATTAGGTGTCACAACATTATTGCTTAACACCAATTTTTTTCACACTAGAATTTCAATATTAACATTATCAAAAGCTAAAAATAATACAAAGAAGATTGTTGATTTTAATGTTTAAATATTTACAAATATAAAATCAAGGGGAATACCCACCCTAGACTAATATAAATAAAAATATTTTGATAGTTTACACATCGTCAACTGACCTTCAAACCCATCCCGATAACAAACTGCAAACACAGAAACATCCAATTAAGCATTACAATCCTGAAAATGTTTTTGTTGTGTACAGTCTTTTTAGCAACAATCCTTAACTTCAACAACTGTAATTGTCTTCTTCCGGTTACCAGTAAGTATACTAAATCTCTCATCTCATTATCAAGAGTACTCCCTGGGGTACTCAAACATAAAAACTGTTCGATACTTCGCAATTTTTTGCAGCTTGCGGTACCACTATATACACAAAAACGGGAACTTTCTCTCCACCCACATTTTATAAACCCAACAACAGCAACCCCGAAACTTGCAAATGGCGCATTCTCACATCTCCGGATGAAAAAATCACCCTCAACATAACACAACTCGACATCAAAAAGACACCCAGTTGCATTTCGGGGTATGTTGAAGTACGAGATGGCCTCTGGGAGGATTCTCCTCTTCTTGGAAAATTCTGTGGACGGGGTACTCTAGATTCCGTTACCTCCACGAAAAACAAAATGTTAATTTCGTACGTACACAAAGCGGGTTATAGAGGTTTTTTCGCAAACTATGAAGCTACCTGTGGGGGAGAAGTGTACGTGCGAAATGAGTTTGTTTTGCACTCGAGCCACCCTCAGGAAAAGTACCCCCTTAACAGAAAGTGCGTTTGGAAAGTAATAGTACCGGACTTCCACCAAGTGGTACTGAGCTTCCAGAAATTCAAAATAGAACACCACGATCAGTGTTTGTTTGATTATGTGGAGGTTGACGATTCGAATGGTACTTCTCGTGGGAGGTTTTGTGGGGACGTACTTCCAGGTAATGTTACTTCGTCTTCGAACAACCTTACGATTAAATTGGTGTCAGATGCCTCTGTTCAAAAGGAAGGTTTTTCTGTTTTTATTATGGCGGAGTTTGATGAATGCACAACTCTGCTGCACGACTGTGCCCAAGAGTGCATTAATACCATTGGTACATACAAATGTGCCTGTAGAAAAGGATACGAATTACACCCTGACGGGAAAAACTGTGAAGTTGCCTGTGGTGGTCCTCTTAAAGCACTGAAAGGTGTGATTCAATCGCCATCTTTTCCTAATAAATACCCCCCAAATAAACGCTGTAGTTGGGAAATTGTTGCTCGTGTCGACCGTGTCGTACTTTTCAATTTCACTCATTTTGATATAGAAGGACACAATAGGACACACTCGATTAAAGAAAGGTGCGAAAAGGACAGGCTGGAATTTTTTGGCGAAAGTGAAAATGTAACAAAACACTTAGGTACTTACTGTGGGAGTAGACTACCAGTTCCGCTTATATCTGAAAGTACCAGGACGAAGATTGTCTTTTTTTCGGATAATACTATTGAAAGAAAAGGGTTTGCTTTAGAATATTTCATAATTAGAGATAAATGTGACAAGTTTAAAGGTAACTGTCACCACGGGTGTGTTAATGTGGTTACAGGTCGTAAGTGTCTTTGTCCAGAAATGTACGTTACCATGGATTCCGTCAACTGTAGAAAAGGCTGTCATTACGAAATTTCTTCTACTTCAGGAACAATTTTTAGTCCTAATTATCCCGGCAGCTACTACAATAATGCAAACTGCACTTGGAAATTTAAAACTACACCAGGCCATAGAATACAAATCAGTTTTCTTGATGTACAAACTGAAAACTGTCACGATTACATTAATGTTTATGATGATTATTCATCAAGTGTGCGCATTTTGGGAAAACTTTGTGGTACTAGAACAGGCATCACTGGATTGTCCACGAAAAATGAACTATATGTCAATTTTATATCAGACGGTTCGAATGTTTATCAAGGTTTCAAAGCGACATATTCGTCTCTATGTGGTGTTCGTCTCTATGTGGTGGTACTCTGACCGCTACCATCACCGAAAATTATATCTATTCTCACGATACGTATCGTCTTTCGAATTACTACAACAATACTGACTGTGTTTGGACTATAAAGGCAAATTCCGGGTATTACGTAAATCTGTCAGTTGAAGTTCTCGAAATTGAAGGTGTTTCTGATTGTTCTCTCGATTTTATGGAAATTCGAGAGGGTCATATTTCACGTGGAAAATACTGTGGTGTTAACGTAAGTACTTGATTTGTTCAGACTTCAACTTGTTCTTTTTCTTTTCAGAAACCTGATGAAGAATTGCTATCGAGTAGTAATTTTACGGTAACATTTCACACAGATTATCTTAGAGAAGCAAGAGGTTTTCGACTAATGTATAAAGCCGTACGAGTTGAAGAAGTTCGTGTTAATTAATTGCCCGCTTTTTGTTACAAGTTTATTTGAATAAAGTTATTCATTCATAGAGGATTAGAATATGAAACTTTCCTTTCCGATTTATTTCTTTAACTCGAATTACATTACTAACTATTGCAACGAATATGTACAGAAATTATTCCGGCGAATTTCACTGGACGCTTTTGACTGTCTCCACTGACTGAATAGTCCATTCCTGACGGTCGCCTCTATTTAAACCTATACTTCTCCGATCGAGATCTTTCACGAACATCCATCGCGCACTGGACGCCGCTTCGAGACTTCCGGTAACCGGCTCCAGACTTGTCTTTATGCGCCCGCCGCTCGGCCCTTGATGAGTCACCGTTCATCGACACACATACTAGACAAACTCATAGGCGTCGCACCGGGGAGGTTATGGGTTTATTTCGTAACAATACGTACCTAAAGTTCGCGTAGTGAACGAGAGATTGTATACACAAAGATAATGACACCTTACAGAGTACAGGTTTCCCCGCAGTATCTGAATCTTCCACAGTTTTACTAATCTTTATATACAAAAAACATAGTAATATAATTCTTAAATAAAATGTGCAATCAAGAGCAATTAATTTTAAACAAATACGCAACACAATTACAGTCACTCTAATTAATTTAAAATCGTTTTGTTGTCACTTCTTCGTACGACGGAACCCTGTCCTGAGGGTGAACAGGGGGTAGAAGAATAGCAATATCATACGCAGGGGGTGGTGTTCTGTTATTAGCAACTGGGGCACTTGGAGTAAATTCTGTAACAACAACCTTAGAAATTCTTAGGCACCTTTCTCTTACCATTACCATTAACAGACACATCAACCGAAGAAGGTTCAACACTTGTCGAAGTCTTATCAAAATTATTCTTGCAATAGTAACACCCGCAGACGCATACAAGAACAAACACAAAAATTAGTAACGCGGTGATAAGAATCTCCCTAAAAAAAATGTACACTTACGAAATAGTGACATTCTGCTAACTTACCACAGATAAGGGTAAAATTTACTTTGTGAAGAGGTGCAGCAGCCTTCTGGACAACAGATGTCGTAACCCAGGTTGCAAAGAAATTCTTGAAAATTGTCGGTGTGGGACTTTATAAATTCGTGTTTTGTTATTGCGTATTCGGGTTTACTTTTTATATAACAATTGTGCACGTTGCTCTAAAAATAAGTCAAAATTGCGAATTTTTGCAAAGATTTTCGTACCTGTGCAAAGTGAAGAGTGAGAAGGAAGCACAAGAGTTTCGTCGCACACATTTTCGTGCTTTTTTGAATAATAATGAATAATAACTTGCTAGTGTTATCCGAGAAACATTTTGTTTGTTTGATTTTGTCTTAGACGAATGTCGTAAAGTTGGAATAAAATCTTATCTTGTTTGAGGAAGGGGTTTTAATTAGAAAGTGAGTAATCGGGTTTTATGTAAATCTGCCCTGTCACACTTATGCTGGCCAAGTACAAATTTTAGTAATTAGTAATAAGTATTTTTTTCAACATTGACGGAAAGTGTAAGTCAAAATTTACAAATATCGCGGAAGTGAGTAAATATTTGAGGATTTAGAACAATGTTGTAATGTGTTTTCAACAAAACTATTTATTTATTCACTAATTAACGTCATAACAATTTTAATTCACACAATAGTAACAATACTTTATTTCGAATCTTCTTTGGTTTCATCCACTTCTACAATTTTTTCCTTCTGAAGAGACGGAAAATGAATTGCTACGTTGTACGTAGGAGGCGGAGTCAGCGTGACGTAAGCCGGGGGCGGAGTCACGGGAGTCGTCGGTATAAACGGAACATGAATATGGGCGTTGTCAAAATTAAATCTTTCCAAACCTTCTACAACCAAAATTTTAATTGTGGAAAAGTCTCCCAACCCAATTACCTGTGTTTTGGTTAAACGACAACATCAAACTCATCTCTTGCGGTTGCGTGTTGGCACGACTTATAGTCACACTCGGGTCGCGCGTTCTCTGTTTACACAGTTTCTTGAAGCAATAACGCAGACAAAAGTAGACGTATCCCACGGTAATTAAAATCACTAAAAACCTGAATAAAAATAAATTGGTGTTTCTTAGGGGTGTTTAAGTTTTACCAAACGAAAGGTGATAGGCGGCCGCTGGAGCTAGAAATTATGACTTTTATGTTAACGTGTAGAAACAACTCCAGAGTACTTACCCTACTTGTAAGGTAAGTTCAGGTGACGTATCCAAGGGACAACAACCTTTCTCACAACATTGTTGATGTCTGGTGTCACAATAAACCACTTTATAATTTGGCGAACTGTTACTAGCGTCGGGTAAAATCGCCTTCGGTTTTTCTTCAAATAAACAAAATTCGCTAGCCTAAAATACAACTTTTATTACTGCAAAATTATTTTTTACTTACCATTATGGTGGTGATTTGGCACAATACGTATGCGACTAGTAAAACAACATCCAAAATAGACATGTTTGTTTTTAATTTATCGAAATAGTGTTAATTTTTTCGTCGCTTCACGCGTAGAGCGTGAAGATAATTAAAAACGATTTGTCAGGTTGTGTAATCTAATGCAAATATTCACATTGTCTCACTGTGGTAATCTTCACTGACGTTATGTTAAACTGGTTGCTTCACAAATAAAACTTCAAAATTGGAATTTGAAGTTAAAAAGTGAACTAAGTTTGATTCACTTTCTACAAGGTGGGTGGTTATGGTCCAGTGCAGATCGCGAGTGGAAAATTTGACTGTGTACAAGGTTTCCAATGATTTATTCAAACTAATAAAATTAATTAATTACAATTACTATCATCATCATGTTTGTAGTAGAAATGACGTGAATTAATTTTTCAGACAGACGGTAGAAGACACAAACGGAAACTTGAGTTCAACACAAAACTATATTCCATGAATTAAAATGAGGGTTTCGCATTCAGGGCGGTTCATTAGGGCACCTACGAACAAATTTTATTATACTTACGTATTTTTTAAAAATCAAAATTGCATACTTTGATTGTTAGTGGTTTCTTCATCTCCTCTTAAAATATTTCTGTACTGATGCTTGAACATTTTCCAGACAGAACATACCAACACGACCACTAAAAAAACCATTAACGTGCCACTTATAATAACCGGCCTGCAACCAAATATTCAGTACCAACATGGCAACAAAACGCAAAAAATTACCATATATACCACGGCACTGGAAAGCAACACCCATCTACGCAACACCCGGAATCACAAGAAACGATGCGAATTTCCTGACTGTCCATTCCGTGTTTGCACTAATTCACAAACTTCCATAAGTGATTAATTTATATTACATTTCTAAAAACAAAAACTGAAATCACAAGAATTGGTTGGTGCTATTTCAGCTACTGCTTAGCCCGAATTCATTATTTATTTATAAAACCACTTTTTGCGGTGACTGGAATCGCATGAATAAAGATTAGGATTTAGGAGAGGATTTCACCGAACCGTGGTGTCACTTCGTGATTTTATGGGTCGTTCTTTTATTTTTTTTTCCGTAGAGCTAATTAACGTTTTAGATTAGAAACACTGAAAGTAAACATGTTGTCGATTTTGTTACGTCACTGCTCTTATTTGTTTTATTTGTGTTTAACGATTTGGCGTCTTGGATAAGAGGTGTTAAAATTCAGTTATTTAAATAAGGCATTAATTACAACGACACTATATTTTTCTAAAAGTTGTCCAGAGAGTCTTCGAAGTATTCTTTCCAGACATCACGTCTTCGTAAGAGGGAATTTTATCATTTGGGTAGCGAAAGGGGGCAGAAAGCGCCATTTCGTAGACAGGAGGTGGTGTTATGGGGTAGCTTGAACCTACCTCACAAAAATCAACAAATCCAAACATAAATGTTATTAAAAATATAAAGAGTAGCCATTATTACCTGCATTTTGATATGATTCTGGACTTGTAATTACACAATTGTCGTAGTGATAGCTTGAGATTTCGTTGTTTGTCCTAAAGGAGTCGTTGTTGGTTTTAGTTTTACACTTCGTTACTGCGTAGTAATACATCAACACCATCAAGAATATTGTACCGAAAAATAAACCCCTACTCTATATTTAATATTTTTGGACTAGACTAAGTTCTACAGTCTTACCAAAGGTAAAGGGACAATTTATTATTCACACTAGTGCAACAGCCATTTTCACAACAAGTTTCTTCCTCGGTACAAAAAAATATATCTTCGTGTGCTTGGCAAACCCTCTGGTTCAAATTTGCGCTTGTCTGAAATCGTTAAAATAAATTCTGTTCCAAACCAATATAAATTTAAACGTACGGTAGATCTAAAAATGACATCTGAAGACATCGCACAACCACAACTAATGGGTTACGAAAAGTGAACCATTTTAAAGAAAATTTTATCATTGATTGGTTTTTAATTATGAGTTCTTGACTTTAAGCTCCTGCGCAAGTCCTAATTAATGGCTTAACTGTAAAAACAAATTTATGGGAGTCATGTCTGCGTAATGCAATGATTCATGGTGATATCTCTTGAGGTACAAAAACAACATTATTTTGTTTGTGTGTAGATTTCGAGTTACGGAAATTAATTTTAGGCTTCATTTCTTAGAAAATTGCTACCATTTGTGGCTCTAAACGTGTTGTATTATCGTCATAATCAACTTCAATCGAAATTAAATTAAATTTAACTTTGAATTTAATTTTGGTGTATTATAAGTTGCATAACGCACCACAGGGGCTAGTGACTATACTCGATGAACGATTTTTTTTTCAAGTAATTTGGTTCATAAAATATTCAAAATTAAAAGCAGAAACATAAAAAAAGAGAAAACACTTTGGTAAGACACTTTATTCACATGTAAGGATAGAAAAATGAGTCGAGAAGAGGGTTAAATAACCTCTACGACCTCAAATTTGTCCTTTCGAAAAAATATTCTAAATGCAATACAATCATTTTTTATTCCGCCGCGCGAAAATTTTAAATTTGACAGGGTACTACGAACCACGGTAGTACTTCCTACGATTGGTCTCCCGAATTAAGCCGATGCGGAACTCGAGAGGAATAGGGAATGACCCCGGGAGGCCATGAACACTTTTAAACATCTCCGTCGTGGACAAGGCCCAAGGTTCTTGCATACGGGAACTCGATGTAGTGTTTTTTGTGCCGATTTCCTTGTTATAGTGTTATTAAATTCTAAAACCAGTTTTTGGACCAATGTATCTATGTTTTGGAAGTAATTTTGGTTAAAACCAGACAAGAAAAATTATTCTTCCGTACAGTATAGTTTATGTAAGCTTTTTTTTCAACTCCTGCGTTTTGTGTTAAAGTTCAAGAACAAAGATAAGGTGAATGTACGAAATATTTATTAGGTGTTGCAGAAAAATCAGTCTGTTCAGCAACCATGATTTTGCTAACAGTGTGTTTACTTTTCATTCCTTCAGCTATAAGCTTAATCCATCTTAGCAAAGCGGTACTAAGTGTGCGACGTTTTCAAAAATCTGGATAAACAATTTAGTTTCAGAATTTAGAAATAGTTCCAACAGAGGTTGAAGAAATCCATTTAGCACCAGTTGTTAATCGCGTAAACGCCACTACTGAAGACTTGCCAGTGATACCTGCAGAAAATTTTACACTTGTAAAAGAACATGAAGTCACTGACGATCAGGGGAACGTTTACGTTGAGTACCACCCTCCTTGGCAAAAAATGATAAATGTCACTGATGATGGTTACCTGGTGTACGACACGGAAACACCTCCCGTTGATGAAACATCACACTGGGAGACCACAGGGTAAGATAAAAAAAAACAGTCAAAAAATCAAAACTTCTGTGAATTTTTTTTACGTAAAAAAACTAATAGTGAAAATTTTCAGGAAAGTTGTACTTCCAAGTGGAATTATTTCAGTTGTTATTGTGATTTGTGCAAGGGCATGCCAGAAATTTGGAAAACATGACGACGAAGGAAACGAACCAATTTTAGTATAACGTTGTTCAGCAGACGATTCCTCGATTATTATCAGGGTAATTTAGGTTTATTTTTGTAAAAAATATTGTTCTAGACTAGGTATTATTGTGGAAAAATAGATATAAATAAATGGTCAATTTTCGTTTATTGTATTATTTTGCGTTTGAAAGAATTTCAGAGATCCTTAATGTCTTTTACGTTTTCTCGACCTTTCATGACCCCTAGAGTACGAAGAAATAGGTCTCGCGTTTCCGTCTGTCTGTATGTCTGTCGGTCTGCCGTCTGTCCGGATTTTTATTAGACAGATAATCTCCGAAATTACCGGACCAATTAGGAAGAATAGAATTTTATGAATCCCGAGTGTCTTTTTTTTTAATAATATGAAAAAATCGTCGGGGTTCCTTATGATTAATTTTAAAGAATATGGGAAGAGCTTTCTTGGTGTTTTCTTTTTACAACAATCTACAGCTTCCTAGAGGTTTTTGTTTAAGAATATGAACGAATCTTTCACACACCTCTAGTGTCTTTTTTCTATTTATGGAAGAATCTTAAGCATCCCTTGTGTTTGTTTTTGAAAGATTTTGAAAGAGTTTGAAAAGATCTGGGGTTCTCTGAGGCTGTGTTCATAAAATTCTACATAAAAATGTTAATTAACAAGTTAGCATATTGTAGCGGTAACTTGTATTACGAGTGAGAAAGATAGATGTAGGGGTGATCTAGCGAAAACTACAACATTCTGTGTAAAGCTTTTATAAAAGCAATAAACCGGACGGTTTGAACTGAGTTTGGACAGTTGCAATAAAAAATTTTAATCTGATCCTACACGTGTTGTTCATTTTCGAGACACGCAAATTTTGGTTAAGGTCACCAACATTGTTGTTGCGCATGTCTTACTTAGGAAGCTCTGATCTAATGAGCAATTTTATTAATTTCGGACACTGTATTTACACATTTCAATTCGCACGAATTAGCACAACGATTTTTTAAAAATATTTTATTCGTACGAATCGTTTGTATATTTTGACTTAAAGAAGACATTTATATTGGGTTCAAATATCCCTGAAAGCAAAATAAATTTAACATCTGGTGCTTAACTCAAGTCCTCAGTAAAGCCTGCGCATTCGCTTAAATCATGAATCAAGGACATGGAATCCAACAAAACATCGATATATCAATGAATTAGTGGCTAAAATTTCGAAAGCTGTAGCTAAAAACTCGGTAAGCTATAAACAAACACAAAATATTACAATTTCGAACGTAATAATTAACTTTGTTTCGTTTATTTCAATTCACTAGATGCTACAGAAAGTCATGTCGTGTGTGGAAATTCTATTTATGCTATTTTATCTGCGTTTCGGTCTAGTAAGTGCTTGAAAAGTAAACTGCGCATGCTCACTTATTTATTTTCTTAGGTGGAAGCAGAAGATTCCATTTGTATAGTATTTCGCGAAGATAACCCCCATTTACCACCATTCTCAGGTGATGAACACAGCCGACTTAGGGTAGATTACTGCAGTCCAAAACAAAAGTGTTGTAAAACGGGGTGTTGCAGTAAAGAAAATCCCGTCGGATACATCCTGTAAATTTCAAAATTTTACCTCCTTTTTGAAAAAACTAAAAAATCTTCGTTCTTGCAGTTTTTTCGGGATTCTTATCGCGGGGGGTTTAATATACTGCTGCTTTAGACTGTGCTGCAATAAATGTAACGAAAACTTCTTCAACGACAGAAGTACTCAGCACGAAATATCACCCCTAAGGACAAACAATCAGCCTGAACAAAGCCGAAACGATGAAAACTCACAACCAGGAAGTAGTTTTTAATCTTGTTTTTACATCGGGTTGATAATGAATTTCGTTCCAGATTATAGTGGTTCTCAAAATCGCATCTATCTAGCTTCTGTGCCAAACGAACAAGAAGGTATTATCTTTTTTTTTAATTTATGATATTTTTTTTGTAGTTACAGTCCACGTGGAAAATAACTCCGATCCGGTCACACCCCCACCATCATACGATGACGCTGTTTGTGCTCCCTCTGCACCACCTGACCCAACATTATCGTTGCTTCGCCAAGAAAACAAAATCCCTTCGTACGAGGATGTCACATCGGGGAAAAAATAATACATTTTTGTTGTTATTCTGGTCATTTGTATGTCCCGAACGGGTTTACCAAAGTGTATTTAAGTTTTTTTTTTGATGGAATCGGAGACGCTTCGCTTAGACAGGCGTACTTCAAGAATAAGTGTTCAAATTCAGGCTGTAAGAAAATATTTGGGCTGAAATAAATATAAGACGAAGTAAATATAAATTTTCCGTTTAGAGGACATTTGCTAATCCCCCAAATGCACGAATGTTGTTTTTTCTTGGCGCGAAATTTAATTTTCAAATCATCACTATTACAAGTTTTAGTTAAGGTCGCTGACATTGTTGTCGCGCATGTCTGATCTAACGGGTAATTTTATTAATTTTGGACACGGTCACGTTTAACGGTTAGCAGACATTCAAGGTAGATCCTGCGACACCCACCAATGGATTCAACTATTCCCGAAAATAAAATATTTTTAACATGTGGTGCTTAAGTCAAGTCCTCAGTAAAGCCTGCGCATTCGCTTGAACCAAGAATCAAGGCCATGGAACCTAACAAAACATCGACCCATCAATGACTTTGTAGCCAAAATTCCGGAAACTGTGGCGAAAAACCTGGTAAGATGTAAACAAACCCAAAATAGTTAGTTTCGAATGTCACAATTAACTTTGTTTAGAGTTTATCCATTCACTGTACGCTAGAGAAAGTCATGTTGTGTGGGGGAATTCTATTTATGTGTCTTTATTTTCGTTTCGGTCTAGTAAGTAAGTACATGAAAAATAAACAGCACATCCTGATTTTTATTTATTTGTTTTGTCAGGTGGGTGCGGAAGGAAGTACTTGTGTGGTTTTTCGCGAAGATAACCCCAACTTACCACCATTCATAGATGATGAAGGCAGCTCACTTAGAGTGGATTACTGTACTTCAGAGGAGAAGTGTTGTAAAACGGGGTGTTGCAGCAGAGCAAACCCGATAGGATTCATAATGTAAATTTCAAAATTTGATTTTCTTGCTCAAAAAATTAAAAAATTTTGATTGTTTCAGCTTCATTGGCGTGTTTATGGTCGGAGGTTTAATTTACGGCTGCCATAGGTGCTGCCAAGAATGCGACAAAAAACCCACTCGTCCCGAAGTACCACCCCAACGTGAACGAAGTCGAAACGAAGCAAACCCACAAGCTAGAAGTACTTTTTAATGTTAGTTTAGAGGTTATTGGTAATGAATTTGGTTCTAGGTTATGGCGGCTCTCATAATAGTCTGTATCTAGCTTTAGCACCAAACGAACCAGAAGGTACTTTCGGTTTTTTGATCTATAAGACATTGATTTTTTGTAGTTACAGTTCGCGTGGATGATAATTCTGTCACACCTCCACCGTCATATGAGGCCGCTGTTTGTGGACGCCCTGACCCACTAGTACCATTGCTTCGCCCAGAAAGCAAAGTTCCTTCCTACGAGGATGTCATATCACGAACAAAATAATCTTTTTTGTGTATTAAATGGTGTGATTTGTTGAAAATTTTTATTTTTTTAATAAATAATTATTTATGATAGTACCAAAGTAAACAGGGACGTCGTACGGTTAAAATAAAAACAGAACAAAGTTGATAAGTAGATTATTTGTAAGTGTATATTAAATTCAACATAAAAATAATTCGTGTTTATCTTATCAAGTTGTTTATATTTATTTTACAATGTTAATTTCAAAAAGACATTATTTTACCGCAAGTACATACAAATAGCTTAAGTTTCAAAAATCCCTTCTATTTCTTGCAAAGATTTTCCATCTGTTTCTGGTACAAAAAATCCAACAAACACTATAGTTAGAAAACTCACTCCGGCGAAAAGGTAATAAGTTACAGAAAGCCCGAAATTACCAACTAAAAAATTACACAACACTATTGCCAATACTCCAAAAACTGCGTCTACAGCATTGGTGAAGGTGGTACCAAGCGCTCTACTTTTAGTCGAAAATAGTTCCGCTGACATGGGTTCAATCAAAGAACCGAACCCTAACTGGAAGCTAACAGCGTACGCCGTGATACACAGAGTGGAAACCCAACCAACAGAAGCTAGATCTAGTCCTGAGTCCATCAAAGTAAAATATACACCAACACCCAGTAAAAACAACCCCGAAACTGTCAACGACAACAACAGCAAATTTTTTCTTCCTATTTTGTTTAAGCACAGAAGACATAAAATGTTTCCTGTTATCATGAGTACCGCAAAAACAATCTCGGCGAGAGAAGACTTTGGGGACTTTTCCAAAATCAAAATTTTTCACCAATTTCGGGCAATTTTCGAGAACATTCAAAAGTTAACTAAATCCTTGTTCTATAGATTTTAACCTTCAGAAGTTAGTTTCGGACTCATTTCTTCTATAGCTACCACCATTTTTCCAGAATCGCCCATTGAAATTTTTCAAAATTTTGGATTTAAAAAAAAAAATTTTTGGAGCTAATATTTTGAAATCTTGCACCAACACGCTACATTTTTGGAATTAGCACGACGAACTTTCAATCCCAGAATTTTTTGGAATTTTTTTGGCGACTTTTTCACTTTCAAAATTTTTCAGCTATGAAAATTTCGTCCAATTTTCGACAATTTCAAAATTTAATTGAAGACTTTTTCTTATAGATTTCGACCTCAAGAAGTTACTTTCAGCCGCAGTTCTTCGATGGTTCCTTACCATTTTTCAAAAATCGCTTCTGAAATATTGCAAATTTTTGGATTTGAAAAAATATTTTTACAAACCGAATATTTTTAAATCTTGAACCGGTAGCATGATCACACTATGTTTGTGGAATCAGCACGACGAAATCTAAATTCCAGATTTTTTTCGGACTTTTTTAGCAACTTGTTCAAAAGCAAAATTTTGCAAATTTGAAAATTTCCGCTAATTTGCGGCACTTTTCGAAATTTAACCAAAGGAATTTTCTTATAAATTTCGACTTCCACGAATTAGTTTCGGATTCATTTTTTAAATCTTACACGAACACGCTACATTTTTGGAATTAGCACGACGAACTCTAATTCCCAGAATTTTTTGGGATTTTTTTGCCAACTTTTTCAATTTCAAAATTTTTCAGCAATGAAAATTTCATCCAATGTTCGACAATTTCAGAATTTAACTAAAGACTTTTTCTTATAGATTTCGACCTCCAGAAGTTACTTTCAGGCTCAGTTCTTCGATGGTTCCTTACCATTTTTCAAAAATCGCTTCCGAAATATTGCAAATTTTTGAATTTGAAAAAATATGTTTACAAACCGAATATTTTTAAATCTTGAACCGGTGGCATAATCACGTTATGTTTGTAGAATCAGCAAGACGAAATCTAAATTCCAGATTTTTTTCGGATTTTTTTGACAACTTTTTCGAAAGCATAATTTTTCCCATTTGAAAATTTCGGCCAATTTTTGACAGTTTTCGAAATTTAACCAATGGAATTTTCTTATAAATTTCGACTTCCAGGAATTGTTTCGGATTCATTTTTTAATTCTTACACGAACACACTACATTTTTTGAATTACAACGACGAACTCTAAATGCCAAAATTTTTGGGATTTTTTTGGGGACTTTTCCAAAATCAAAATTTTTCATCAATTTCATGCAATTTTCGAGAACATTCAAAATTTAACTAAATCCTTGTTCTATAGATTTTAACCTTCAGAAGTTAGTTTCGGACTCATTTCTTCTATAGCTACCACCATTTTTCCAGAATCGCCCATTGAAATTTTTCAAAATTTTGGATTTAAAAATAATTCGTGTTTATCTTATCAAGTTGTTTATATTTATTTTACAATGTTAATTTCAAAAAGACATTATTTTACCGCAAGTACATACAAATATCTTAAGTTTCAAAAATCCCTTCTATTTCTTGCAACGATTTTCCATCTGTTTCTGGTACAAAAAACCCAACAAACACTATAGTTAGAAAACTCACTCCGGCGAAAAGGTAATAAGTTACAGAAAGCCCGAAATTACCAACTAAAAAATTACACAACACTATTGCCAATACTCCAAAAACTGCGTCTACAGCATTGGTGAAGGTGGTACCAAGCGCTCTACTTTTAGTCGAAAACAGTTCCGCTGACATGGGTTCAATCAAAGAACCGAACCCTAACTGGAAGCTAACAGCGTACGCCGTGATACAAAGAGTGGAAACCCAACCAACAGAAGCTAGATCTAGTCCTGAGTCCATCAAAGTAAAATATACACCAACACCCAGTAAAAACAACCCCGACACTGTCAACGACAACAACAACAAATTTTTTCTTCCTATTTTGTTTAAGCACAGAAGACATAAAACGTTTCCTGTTATCATGAGTACCGCAAAAACAATCTCGGCGAGAGAAGACTTCAAGTACTGCGATTTGGTTTTAGTAAAAATGTAAGCGACGTTCATCAGTGTGAAACTAAATCCACCAAACTGCAGACCAGCATACAACCCAACAGCGATGAGCAAACCTTTCCTATTCCTTTTATTCCCAAATATACCCTTGAAGTTCTCCCATTGGGATTCGTTTGCTTTAATTGTTGTTTTAATGGTACTAATTTCGTCGTCATTGTTGTCGTGTCTACGAAGTTTGCTTAAAGCTTGTCTTGCCAGATTTTCTCGTTTGGTTAAAACGTGGTAGTACGGTGACTCTGGCATGAAATTAAAAACCACCAACTGACACACCAAAACAACATTCGCTAGGATCGACGGAACGTAGAACGGAAAATACGGAACCAACCCATAAACCATCAAAGTACCTAAATTTTGCGCAAAACATATAACCCCCAAAAACCAGCTTCTACTTGTCGGATTTGCCGTTTCTGATATGTAGATGGAAACTGATACCATACTGATGTTACCTGTGGCTCCGGCCAAAAAGCGAGCCACATAAAATGGTACCACTCGACTACTTAAAGCAATTATCGTCCAAGCAATTAAACCGACTGCCGTGTTTAGCAAAATTGTTGTTTTGCGACCTATTCTATCCACCATGTATGCAGCAAAGGGGATTGAAATCAGTTCACCAAGAAAATAAATTGCTTCCAGCCACATTATATCGTTGTTGGTTATACCACTCGAGGAAAGTTTTGGGTATGCGGGGGCAGACCATCCACGATGCATTCCTTCAGAAACAAAAACCGCTGAAGCTGTAAAAACAACTCCATAATTACAATAGAGTTTCAGTTGCACTCACCCGAAATAGAAGCTGTTAGTTCTGTTAAGGTAAAATATTTTTTTTGTTCGTTTATTTGAAACATTTTGTTTCAAATGTGTTAAAGTGTTTGGCGCGTACATATATTATCTTTATAGCCAGTACTGTCTGTACTGTTAGTACTTTCTTACTTATCGTTTTAATGACGACACAAATTATAGTTCAACAACGAATTATTATTATTGCTTGCAGTTTTTACTATTAGACACTAGAACTGGAAGATATTTTATATTCGGTAATTAATTTTATTCAGTTTACAGTATTTTGTGTTTATCATTGCGGTGAACACTTGATAGTTGAATTGCCTTGAAACCTACGTAAATAATAATACTAATTATTACAACGGCTGTCAAGATAACGTCCACTAATAAATAGTTAAACCACGAGATATCAGCTGTTGGACTCCTCAAGTGTTTTGCCCCCTTGTGCCTAATCACGTATTCGGACCACCAAACAACCTTTTCCAGTCCAGTCATGGGTTTGTCGTATAAAAGGTCACGAACTTCCTTGATTCTCCTATTGTATCTAAAATAACAAACATTGTCATGCAACGGTTTCACAAAATTTATAACTATTAATTTCGACCTTGTTGGTCAATATCAAACCAATTAAAACTCACTTTTTATCTTCAGCTACTTCTATTATACAATTTTTTAGTTCTTCTTTGTTCACGGTAACTGGATCCACACCAAGTCCGATCCCCATGTCGATAATTTTTTGCACGTTCATGGGCTGATCACCCATGAAAGGCATACCAATTAGTGGCACCCCTCTAGAGATGGCTTCTTCAGTGGATTGAAGACCGCCTTGTGTGACAAAAGCACGAATATTGGGGTGTGCTGCAAACCCATTTACATTACAACACAAAAGTCACTCAGTTAACACCAACCAAGGATATCTTGTTGGGGTAACCATTTTCGTGTTACCACGTTCTTCGGTTTTCCTTCCAAGTGATCGGACTCCCATTTCCACAGAACTTGGTACGGTAATTCAGATAAGGCTTCTATGATGGTTGTTCTCAGTGTTTCCGCCAAATTTACGCTTTTCACGTTCGACCCCAAGCTGAAGTAAACTACACCTTCGGTTGCATCATCCAGGATTTTTTGCAAATCCTGAATATATTTTAAAATGTGAAACAACTTGTGGTGGTGGTACTTACTTGAGGTAGCGGTTTCACCGGTTTGATGTGCATCTGCCCCATTTCGACTATCGCGGGTACAGTAGGCCTCGGTGGGTACATCAACGGATTTACATTAAGAAAAAGCATGCTTTGATTCTTCTCCAAATCCCCCACGTACGGTATATCTTTCCCGAAGTACTTCTTAGCCATTTCGTGCGCTCGTGGTACCAAAATATTGTGGTGGTAGTACCGCGACCACAAACTAAACATAACGCTTTTGGTTTTTTGCCACAACGACAGTTCTTTGTCGTGGAAGCTTAGCAAGACATCTGGGTACAGTACCGGGTGTGTCGGATTACCCACAATGTCGTACCCGGCGGCTAGTACTCCCAGTGACGAGACTCCAATGATGGGTGCCTTGAATCTTCCCGATAAAGCGTACATGACGGGATGGAAGCACTCTATTAAAATCAAATCAAACTGTTTGCTTTGATCGTCTATCAGTTGTTTGAACTGAGTACTGTTGAGTTCGGCTTCCGCTATCGCATCCATGAAACGAAAAATGGCATCCAGGTTTTGGAAAACGTTGACATCTTTTGACATAAGTTCTTGGATTTTGGTTTGTTTGAGGAAGTCGTAGGTGAAGTGGACACTGATTTCGGTTAGGTTTGTTAAGGAGGGATCGTTTAAGGGGTTGGGTGTTACCACGGTGACGTTGTGGCCCCTCAATGAGAGTTCTTTCCAGATTGGTTGATATACGATTTGGTGGCTGATTGAAGGAAACATGAACACTCCTAGAATATTGCTACACAAGATAGTTCTAGAAAATAGAAGTATTAGTGGAATTGTAAGATACATTGTTGTTGCTTCTTGTGTTCACTACTGGTAAAACTGCACGATATTCGGTATTTATATTAGATAATTGTTCAAATATCAAGTCATGCAAGGTGGTTCATAATTATAGGTTCTAATTTTTCGAGTCATGTTCCTAGGGATTAGACGACTGGGTTTGCAAAAGCCGAATTAAATATTTAATTAAAAATTAAGCGTTAATCATGCGATTAGTTTAATTTTTTGACGTCATCAAGGTGCGATTAAACACAAAATTAAAATTTAATTTTTTGTTAAATTAATTCACTATTAACGACATTACTCACACAATTAAACATCATATCGGTTTACAAAAGTGAAATTACACTTAATTAAAATGTTAATCACACGATTAGCTTAATCGAAGTAGCGACTTAATTAACTCGCTAATTCGCTCGCTTTGACGCTTCGCGTATTTGTGACGAGTGAACAAATTTGGTCAAAATAACGAAAATCTAACGATTATTACAAACGTAAGTAATGACACAATAAATTTATTCATATTTCTTTATTATATTCGATATCTTCAGTTTTGGGATGTTTGATTTATCGGATATATCGTCCTCATCTTCATCATCGGACGAAGAAAACATTGTTCAAAGAATTCCGCGGAGGAGAAGAGCTTTACGGGATAGAACAAATCCATTTGGACTATATGATGAACAGGAATTTAAAATGCGATTTCGTTTCAACAAAGAAACAATTCTGTATGATATTCTTGGTGCGGAATTAGAACCTACCTGTAGTCGGCGAAAATCAATTTCTGCCTTAAACCAGGTAGTGTTTCAATTAGGGTTGCCAGATTTTGAAGACTGTTATATAGTAGAAAGGGGAAAATATATAGGAGTTTAAAAATATATATAGGAGACTTTTTTTTACTCAATAACACAAAATAAAATTCATTCTGCACAAAAAAAACAACCAGTATATACAGTTGCCGCCAAAAATTTCAGACGTCAATGTCATTCAGTCGTCAGATAGTGTAAAGCAACCTTTAAATGTTTAGGTATTTTGCATGGCCGACTAGTACCTGCTAAGATAAAACTGATTTTGGCAGATGACATTCTCTCTAAGAGAAGAGAGGGTGGGTGGGCGGGGCTAGTAGCTGCTAAGATAAAACTGATTTTAGCAGGTACTAGACCCGTCCATTCGCCTCCTATTTTCTTAGAGAGCATGTCATCTGCCAAAATCAGTCTTACCTTAACAAGTACTAGCCCCGCCCACCCACCCTTTATTTTCTCAGAGGATTATGTCATTTGCCAAAATCAGTCTTATCTTAGCAAATATTAGCATTTTATACTAGTCGGCCATGGTATTTTGAAAGTTTGACATTCCAGCTGTCCGAAATAATGACAATAAAGCATAGACTACATTAAAATTTTTCACATGACAGAAAAGTGATGTTTGAAATTTTTTGTCGGAAACTGTATATAGGTATAAAAAAAAAACAATAAATATATCTTGTACTAATCAATACTCATTATCACAAACTGATCACTTAACAAAACATAATAACATTATTTCTATAAAAAGTGTCTACACAAAAAAAACAAATAGTCATATTTTGCACTATTCTGTGCTTTCTTAGCAAATTTGTATCACTTTTAACAATATCAAAGAAGTCTCTACAATTCTGATCATTGTTTACTGCGCGCTAAATTTAAATCAAGATTTAAATATGTTTGTATTGATTTGGGAATGAGACGCTTAAGTGCTAGAAAATATAGGAGATTTTAATGAAAATACAGGAGGTAGGAGATTGGAAGTAAAATATAGTAGACTACTATTAAATATAGTAGGTCTGGCAACCCTAGTTTCAATAGAAATGGCAAAGATATTTTTTCTTTACATAAAAATATTTAAAAAAATCCAACGAACGAACAAAAAATAACTACCAACTTTGCGTAAGAATTGGTTACATTTTTAATTCGCTGAATTAGTTAACACCGTGCTTAATTTTGCAAAAATTGATATGTAAACCGTAATTAGTTTAATCACGAAATTAAATTAATTGTATGATTAACTTAATCAAAAATTAAGCCATGTTGTATAACCCCATATAGTGTTTAGGATGGCTGCTGGTACTACGATATTATTAATTACATGAGGCAGTAAACTGGGTGTTAATTTATTTTCATATAAATTTAATTGAAGATAAAAATCTTTATTAAAAATAAATACAATTTTTTATCACATCGGTTTGTCTTCACTCTGGATTCACCAAATCGCTACCTAAATGCGGCAAATCGTCAGCCCTTAGCACCCCTTTTGGCAAATACCCAATCAGATTCTTCGCGTGCTCCTTTAACATTCGCAACCTTTCCTCTTGGATAACGCGTCTCCTGCAACAACGACCATCAAAATCTTACCTCCGCAGCGTCAACCGACATTACCTTTCTTCGGCTTCCATTTCCTCCTGTTCTTTGAGTTTCAGCAGCAGCTGCATCTCTTCCGCGTGTCGTTGTCTTCGCTCGATCATCATCTTTTCCACTTCTTTCCGACATTCGATCATCTTCAGGCGCCTCTTTTCGTTCGATAGTAGTTCGAGTCGTTTATCTTCGGCCATTTTCGCTAACAACTCTTCTTTATATTTAGCGTCTTCAGCCGCCTCCGCCTTGAGTCTTTCTTGTCTTTCTATCATTTGGTGCATCAGCGACTCCCGGACTTCGATTCTCTGTCTTAAAGCTTTTTCAACGCTGGCTCTGTGCTCTTGTTCCATGGCTTGTTTTTGTTCTTCTTCGTACAGTTCTTGCATGATTTCTTCTCGTTCTTTTCGTAGCATCTATGGAGATCAAGTTGTCAAGGATTTGTGTCAGATAAACGACGGGGTTGTGAAATTTGACAGGAAGTGGAAGTGAAGATGTCTTTCGGGGTGAATTTGGATGCCTCCATGGACTCCATGGAGGAGACCCGCTTCAAGAAGAAACACTCGGATCTTATCATCAAGTTGGTCAAGAAATTACACTTTACGTACACGGAATTAGAGTGTATTTTTATTATTTATTACAAACTCCAGAAGGACAATACTGATAAGAACGCGACTGGGATATCAAAGAACCAATTGAGGGATGTTCTTCATAGTGGGTTGGATATGACAGACGATGCTCTTATGGATAGGATATTCGCGGTTTTTGAGAAGGGTCCGGGTACTACCGTGTCTATGGAAACTTGGGCGACGGCGTTGTCTTTATGGCTCAGGGGTACTCTTGAGGAAAAAATTGACTACTGCTTTTCAGTAAGTATCAACGTGATAGGAAAACTGAGATTGATTAGGTTTATGACCTTTTGGGTGATGGTCTCATAGGACGCGAAACAATGTTCTATTTTCTTAGAACATCTTTGATAAGTCAGAGCAGTGAAGATGATGCTGAAGAGTCAGTGAAAGTTGGTATTAATTACATTCATTTATGACTTATTCTATGCAAGTCTTCCAGGACATGATAGAAGTGATCACAAAAAAAATGGATGTGGATAGAGACGGAAAAATTTCCTACAACGACTATAAAGTCACCGTTTTGCAGCAACCAATGATGTTGGAAGCTTTAGGTCAATGTCTACCAACCAGAGAGGCCATACACACATTCATAACAACATTCACACCCAGAATTGGAAAAATGTAAAAATATAGACCTCTTGTTCCTGGAGCTGTTTTGCTATATTTTCAGTTAATTTAGCTTTCACTGCCTCCATTTCGTTCTTTTTTTGTTCCCTAGACTGCATCTCTATCGCCTTATTTGTTAAAAATTCATGTATCCTTTGATTTTCTTTCTCAATTTCTGCCTTCTCCTTGTTCCTCCAAATCTGCTGCGCTTTCTTAAACGCGTCCATTTCTTCCTTAGTCTTCTGCATTTTACACATCTTCTCCATACGTTCTCTCTCATCTTCAGCAAATATCCGTTGCACAATATCATCAATCATCTTCTTCTCTCTCAAAAATTCGTCATACAAATAACGCTTGCGCTTCTCGTTGATAATCATTTGGTCCTGTAGTTCTTGTCTATAAATAGCCTTCTTTTTAATTTCTTCCTCAGCTGCAGTTTTTTTCATCTCTTCCAACGTAATCACAGCTGATTGCAGCTTTTGAAACTCTTCCCTTTGCTTCAACTACACAAAAAAAATTATCATTACATAATTGACCACGTACTCACCTTATCTTCTAGTTTCTTGGCATTTTTCTCAGCTAATTGCGTCGCTAGTTCTTTCGAAACGTACGCGGTTCTCAGTTTTGACTCTAATTCCCGCAATTCGTGCGACGTTTCACGCAAACTTTGCCTGAAGCATAAATTTTTACATTGCGATTCTTGACGATTTTATACAACCTCAGTTTCAAGTCTCTGAGTTCACTACGTTTAATTTTGTCCAATTCTCTAGCCAAAGCTTTGGTTTTATCAATTTTTTGCTCCGTATGGGCCTCTCGTTGCTTTGACTCGAATAGGCGATCTGCCGTTTCACGTTCTCGGCGTTGGTAATGCATGGATCTTTCCAAATTCCGGAAACGGTTTTTTTCGACCAAGTGTAATTTGTTTCGTTCGATTTGTTCATCGTAGGCTCGTTTTTGGGCTTCTGCTGCAAGTTTGCGTTTTCCGTCTAGGTTTAAAGCCTGGAACACGTCACGAATAAGTCGGTTTGCTTTTTATGCTTGTTACGTACCATTTTTAATTATCCAGTTTTTTTTATTAGGAGAAATTCAATTTTGTGTCTTGACATTTGACAGATAAACATAAACAGCAGTGCTACCAACGTGCCGTGCTGTCAGCAACCAACTCGACACAGATGTTCAAAGGTAATCAAAGAATAAAATGCGCGAATTTAAAATGCTCTAATACAAGAAAATAACTCAGGATAAACACAGTTAGAAAATTTTACCATTCATGTTAATAAAAATTTGGTACTCGGTTAGTCAACTCAAGTAACTTTTGTGAGACCGCAAATCAAAAAAAAAATGCTAAACCTGAATTCGCATTCACATTAATTTCTCACTTTATTTTTAAATGCAAATACATGTATGTTTTTTATTCGACTGGAATATTTTTTTGTAAATAAGATTTTTTTTTGGACATCAAACCATACAAAATTCCATTATGACGTCATAATTCGGGGGCCATTATGGTTTTTTGGAAAATGACGAAAATGGCCACGGAGTGAAATTTGTGATTAATATTACTGATCTAATCTGTGTATTTGTGTTAATTGTGCTTAAAAAAGCGTTATAAAACTGGAATGCGTGTTTTAAAATGTAAGGGCTTCAAGGTTTCGCAAAATTTTGTAGCTCTAGTTATGTGATCTGATAAGGTAACATTTAAACGTTTGGGACAGATAATTGGGGAATCGAGACACAATGGTAAGTCTTTCTTAATGTTTTCTTATCTTTTCATTGCATTTGTGTTTCTGAGATACGCAGAAAACTGTGGTAAATTTCAGCCATCAGAATCATGTACAAAGTATAAACCAATAAAATGAGAATTTCCTGTTTCTAATAATAATATGATTTGATTATACAGGACTGAATCGTTTGTTAATTTCATTATTTTCAAATTTCTAGAGCTGTTCATGCGGAAATAAACTCGTAACGATGCATCTTCGGAGATGAATATATGCAACACACAATACACGTACTAAAAACTAAAAATGTAACAAATTACAGTTACTTTAAACACGTTTTTAGTATCTTTTTAAGACTTGGAGAGCTGTTAATCATTTACTCAGCTTCATTATTATACAGAATGTCAAAAGTTAGGTTAAGTTTCACTGTCAGTTCAGTCAACTGCTTCTAAGAAAGATGAGAATTGGTTACGAACTGGTGGTGGCTCTTTAAAAAAGTGTGTTTTGGGTAATGCCGAAAATAATAAAACTCTGTCTAGATATGCATTATATTTAACTTTATTAATTTATAATTCTTTTATAAAGTTTCATATGAACTGGATAGCTTTCCAAAATAAATCCAAACCAATGTAAACTGATTTACTGCACTAAAATTTCTTACATTTATGTATGTTGTAAACGTGTTTGTGTTGAATTGGATTTATTTGGTAAAAAGTTAGTAATATAATAATAATTAATAATAATAAGAAAAAGAGACATGACCCTTGTTAGATCTTAATAGATTATGTAAAGTTTGAGCATTACAAGTGCCGCTCTGTCATGTCTATGATACATTATTTTTTTTAATAAATGGACTGTAACTTGTATGTCAAAATATGAAATTACAGATTACTGTATAATACATTATTCTGATATTTTAAACGTCACATTTTAAAAGTAATAATATTCGATAAATGACTGTAAGAAATACAAAAAGACCAGCAAAATTGACAGTGTAAAAATAACAAAATATGATAAATTTCATACATGGATAGAAAGTTCACGCATTCATTGTCTAATTTACTCATATGTTTTTACATTATCGTATTACAAGTTTAGCAGGTTATAAATATTAATTCAATTATCTACTATATATAATATAATAATATAATATTATGTAATAATTTTATTTTATAATAATTTTGTGTAAAATGTAATAAAACTGACATGCAACAGAGTATGGCGTGGATTATCTTATATAATTGATGGAGATTCGTCCGAATATGATAATTGGGTACTCGCACCTTTCTCCTGCATATCGTCTACAGCAGACCGCATAATACTGTATACAAGCGTAGGTCCGGCGTCCTCTCCCTTTTCTTCGTCTTCTTCGTTCGCGAGAAGCGAAGGAAAAGACGGGACGTCGTCGTGAAAGCTTAAGTAAATAAGACTTATGACTAGAAATAAATAATAAATAATAATAAATAAACAACGTAGCAATAAATATGATATACAACGCTATATTACAATTTGTAAAAAAAACTGCATCATTAAATGATCAAAAATTGAATAACGAAATAATTGATCACCAACATGTTTACTGACTAGACTATGTCGAAACTTTGGGCGAAGCTAAAAAATCGTCAAAACAACAGTTTGGTCCCAGCATACTAATGTTGGGTGAAAACAAACCAATAAATTGGCAAGATCTCAGACTATGCAAGTTTGTTCAAACTTTTTTTTTCTAATATTATAATGAGTATGAGTACCGCATTGGTTCCATATGCTCAACCTTAATTTTGTAATAAATGCCATACACGTTATAAATTATGACTAGAACCTACTCCCTACTCTACTCGTAGCTAAAATATATGATGATGAGTGGATGTGTAAGTCGGCTAGATCGACTAATAAAACGGAAAAAAATGATTCCATGATTAAGCGCCTGTTGACTTTTTAGCATCTAAAATATAAAAAATGGACCACCAGATCCCGACAATCACATTTTCTGTTCCGTCCATTGGAAATAGGCGATTACGAGAAATGGTCAAATTTAAAGTTTTTGTTTTTACATCGCGGAACGATTCCCAATTTTCAAACGAACATCAAATCTGTTTCACACGTCATTACACAGATATTCATGTATCACAGAATCAAATGGGACATGGTCTTAATTCGAGCATCATAAAGCAATGCTCGGTGCACGAAATATGATCTAAAACAGTCGTTTTTGCCGCTATCCTATCAAAGCAGCCCTATAATTCTTATTAATTACGTCTTAGAAACAACTCTCTGTGAATACAGATTTAGCGTAGACTCACATAGAAGTGATTTTTATCAATTAGGTACAAATAATAAAGCACGGGACACGAAATGTCGATTCATTATAATAATTATTTACATTTTTATTATTATCAACGTTTGTCAGACCCATTTAACCAATTCGGCTTTTGTCGTATTTCAATTTTATTATGTACACACAACATCGAAAAGAACAATGTAATTTTGGCAAAGAGATATGTACCCGCTTACGGTTCACCAGCGGGCTTAATTTTGTTCAATTTATACTATAAATTGCATTAAAGTAGAAAAATATATTTTGTATTATCGATTATTAAATTGTTATTTACACTCTATAATAACAAACAATCAACGCTTTTTTTTTTCTAATTTTTACAAATCGGCGATTTGGTGAATGGATCGTACAATTTTGAAAAAATTCAGGTTCCTCTCGACTTCATTCAGTACAATAATAAGCTCACCGTTTAAATTTGACAATTCTTTTGGGTTCCTTCTTTTGGGTATAGACGTTGCGTCCGATAACAGTTGATGTGATTGTCCGAATCCTTTTGAATCGACAGGTACGTTTCTTGCCTGCGACAGGAAAGGACCATACATTTTGTATAAAATGGTGCAATCGAATGGACCCCAATATATATACAGCATGGGATGAAAATGTCTTGATAGCGAGGGTGCGGACTTACATCCGCTGCTGACGCGGAACTATGAATACATATACTAATAGAAACACGATGACCGCCCTCTCACGATGAGAAACAGTTACACAAATAATTGCAAAAACATACCCTGTATCCTAGAATCACTTCGCTGCGTTTAGAGATTGATTATTATCCGCTCTTGCCTGATTGGGGAGACCATATTTTATAATTTCAATGAATTAGACTAGACAGATGAGACCCACCAGTACCAAAAGGCCTCCGCGAGTCTAGTAATCACCGTCACTTATAAATATTATGTATATAAACGTTTAAAAGATGCACGGATTTTCGCTACTAACAATTAAAACTAGCAAAAAGGCATCATGCAGAAGGGAGTTTGCAGTACGAGCTTGAACGGTGAGAAGATGTCGAAAAAATGCTATTACCTGAGAACCCACTTGAATTCATTTTTTTCTGCGTTTCGATTCTACGGTTGCTAAGCTAATTTTTGGTTGGTTTGAGGAGGCCTGTTCGTTTTTAGGAGAGATTGATTTTGGGAAGCTGTGTTATTATTTAAGTGGGTTAATTTTTGGTAGGGGTAAGTCTCGATATATTAATTAGTTTCGGGAGCTGCCACCCTCCCGTTCTGGTTAGTACTTAAAAGTATTTACTTCCAGCGCCGAAGGAATGTCATTAGTAAGCGTGGAATGCACTAACTACTATTTAAAAAAGAATAAAAACAAACATTATGAAAATATAAATATAACTTAAGGCGATAATATTCAGCAAACTATTTGCTTTGTAATAAATATAGTATAGAAAACAAGAAAACTCTATATGAAAAAAAAAAAAAAAATTAAGTACGTTTCACAATTAGGTGTATCAGTCGTTCTGTTAATATTGCACAATAGTATCTCAGCCGAAAAAATAAATACATAATTAAAAAATAAAAAAATACTTTTGTATATCTAAATACATTAGATTCAATAAATATTATATATGTTCACTAAATATATGTCTTAGGACTAAATTAATTCTAATCATATTAACTAGAATCCGCAGCCGATGGCTGGATAATTTGACTAGAGTGGCCCAGCCGAGTGCTTCTCCACTCTCTTTTCCCGGCCTGCCCAGGGACTTTGGCAAGTCCCGCAAAGCGTCAACTAACTTCTCAACAACTATTTGGCGTAAACGCACAATTTGCATTTTGATATATAAACTTATACATTAGATAAAATTCATAAATTGCGAACGTATTGTTCTAAAATCGATAATGACTATACCTTCATGGTATCACGACCATTCTTTGGCTATCCTAAACTGCTACCCTCTAATATTTTACAGATTAATATATAGTTGGTACTTTGTAAGGATTATGTTACTTAACTTTAGTAGAAATATTATACTATGTTCATTTCCTTTGTATAGGTATTGTTAATTAATAATGAATGTCATGGCTCCTTTTTCTTTTGAAAACAGAAGGGAGACCCGACATGGTACCGTGTGTCCCCATAAGTGCGACTCCGAGCCCAAACTGTGACTAGCATATCATCACAGAAAACATGCCTGGGCTAAATTTGGCAACTGAGCAGGCGGAAGCGCCACCCGCCCTCAATTTCTTATTCAAGTACAGTTTAACACACATTAAGTACTTACAACAAATAATTAAGAGTAGACGTCTCAAAATAGTGATACATTTCACGAACGAGAAGACAAAACGGCCTGTACAATCAAACACTGATTTGTTATTTAATCACAGCCCATTTGGAATTTCTCGATAAGACGGGCGGCGGGCGCGGCCGGACTGCGTGTGCTCGGAGTGTGTAACCAGGCATGTTTTTATATTATTATAAGTTTATAATATACTATGTGTTTTTGTATAAAGTGTCGTCTAGTATACTAGTGGCTGATGGGCGCCGTCAGCGCCACAAGTTCTCACGGTCAAGGTTAGTAGGGCCTGTTGGCGTCCTTGGGCCTCTTCAGCTGGACCTTGAGTCTCTTCATGCCTATCTGGAAGCCGTTCATAGCTTGGATGGCTGCTTGAGCACTCGCCGGGTTGTCGAATGACACAAACCCTAAGCCGAAAATTCCAAAATCAACCTAGCCAAACCACCACACCTAGTCAACCTACCGAAACACTTGCTCTGGTTAGTGGCACGGTCAATGAACACCTTGGAACTGATGACGTTTCCGAAAGGCAGGAACATTTGCATCAGTTCAGCGTCCCCGAATTCTTGAGGTAAATGGTAGATAAACAAATTACACCCTTCGGGACCGGAGATGGAGCAGCCTAAGACAAAAGAGAAATTATAATCAGTCGAACGGGGCCACCACACCGACAGACAGCTGACACTATTTTTTGCGAACCGCTATGGAGTGTATGTTCGTATGACGCACAAGACTGGATGATTTTTGTATGTGATATTGGAATACTACCTATTGATTTCGGTGTGGTTGCAAAGAAACTGGGACCAATTTCGTCTAATATTTGCACACACCAGACAACATCGAATACAGAAAGGCTGAAATTTAGCCGATGCTAACATACAGTGCATTATATATAATAAAGGAAACATCTAACACAGAAATATATATATAATAATAGACAAGGAGGTGAAATGCAACATCTGACGTATTATTCTTTAACATTTAATAAAAGATCACATAGATTTCTAAAGAACACTGAGAGATTTTGTCTGCTCTGCTAGTAGGGACATTGGGAGTACTAATGTTAAAGTTAATTAATGTTTACGTGTGCGTTTGATATCTTACCTTCCCTCTGTGCAGGAGCAACTGCCGACATAGGTTGGGGAATGGCCTGCGGGAATTGGCCATAAACCGCGGGGTAAGCTGCCGACAAATATAAACAAATCACACCCAAACTTAACCATCGATGCAAGCATGCTTTTGTACCCATGTCTTCCAGTAACCGCAGGCAAGAATTCGACAAATATCAATTCGGGTTACTGAAAAACAAGCAAACGAGGTGATCCCACCAACAGAATTCTCACTTCATTAATAACAAATAACGTTCGTGAAGCCGAATTCCTTTGGTCGTTTTCCTTTTAGCTTCGTATTGGTAAATATTTTGTTATTTTATGTATATATGTCGATCGTGTTTATAGATGCTATAGTTAGAGTTTGGTTTTAATGATAGTCCTTGAAATGTAAAATTAAAGTAATAATATATAAAGCAACAACATCGAACAATTCTGTGTAACATCGAACAGTTATAGGTGATACCAAGCTACACTGATACATCTATATTGTACACTGTATACATCCATACATCCTATCTGTAAACTAAGAAAACACGAACCGGGGTATCAAAACTTACCGACTCCTGGATATGGTTGCATCCCTGGATACGCTGCATGCTGAAGCGCCGCTTCACCGTTAGGCAATCCTTGCGCTGGAATGGACAGATGTAGCGCATCTACATTTCAGTTAACTTGGTCCTTATCATATCTCGATAGAAAATTTGAGGCAGATCGTCCATTAACAAGAGTTGAATCGTTAAAATGAGAATAATGGACAACCTGCCGTTACGTGATAAATTCATGAACTTACGAGCTGGATACGTTTGTGGAATTCCATTCGTATAAACGGCTTCCGTGCCTCCCGGTTGCCCGTTGGGCGTTTGTGCTGCCATGTTGAAAGTTGGCATTGTCGGAGAAGGTAAACTGGGTATGGCGCCGTTGACGGGCTGACCCGAACCAGCACCTACACCAACGTCTGTGTCAAAAAAATCGGTTATCAATACACTGTTGGCAGACCACAAAACTACTATAACGGAGAAAGCGCGAATTTACCTGATGTAGGTGGCACCACCGAATTCGCCATACCGTTGAGTGTCGCATGAGGAATCTGCGTCGCGAGCGCTGCCATTGGGTTAATGTACGTTCCTTGTGCTGTCGCAGCTGCCATGAGAGCTGCCTGTTGCTGAAAGTCCAAAGAATGCTATAAGCAAACAAAATGCACAAGATGTACAAAACGAGACAATTCTCATCGTGGGGATTCGATGAATCGGCGACGGTTCACCGTCTGAATTCAAAGAACGTTCCTTTGATGAACTTCTGCTTGTGTCTTTACCTGTGCGTAAGCTCCATAAGCTCCGAACTGGTTGAACACGAAGGGGTTGAGAAGACTCATGTTTCCGGCCATCTGCTGCATGCGTCTAAGTTGTCGTTCTTTTTCAGTATCGGCAAATTTCACTACTAAGCTGGAAGAGGCTCCCTGCAAACAAAGAACTTGCTTTACAGAAATATCATAGGACGCAATATTTGCTCCGGATGGTTTTTCGAGAGAAACGTTTCAAAAGTCTGACAAGCCCGCCTCGCAAACAGCCAACGGATGTTTTTTTCGCTTAATTTCGACAATGTTCAACCGATTGGAAATTATTTCTGTAAAGCTGCAGAATTTGTTGGTGAGTAATTTTAAGGCATCCCGCCCTACACAGACAACATTCAGAGGTGCAAAGAACATCTCTACAGCTATTGTGCAACAGGAAGAGACGCAGAAGGGCTCGTAAAACGTGGATCGTGTACGCGCGCCGTCAGGAAAAATTCGGTCGGCATAACGTTATCCAAAAATGTGTAATATAAAATGTCTAGAAAGCAGTTTGGGAGTAAATCCGTCCGCTGATCCTTTGAAGCAAATCAATTGGCATGGCCCGAGGAAAGGACGAAGGAAGAGCAGTTCGGACGGTCACAATCCACTCCTGACAAGAGTTTTCCCTCTCTCGCTCTACCGCTTTCACAAATCTATTAGAAATCGTTAAATCCTGGCTCGGTTGAAGGGCGCCATCCAATTCCGCATGTCTCCTCATCGGATCAGACCACGGCCGAAGAGACATTCTGTTATTGAATGCCGCGGGTTAGCGCGGAGGCCGACCAAGAATCCACACAAGCCGTCAGAAATGCCAACCAATAAAATGTATTAGGTGCGGGGAACCGCCCACGCGAAATTAACGAAAGCACGCAGACGCTAAAAATACATATAATTTTCGGTTCGGGTTTCTCAGTTGACACGTTTCGAATTAACCGAAAAACAAACAAGCACTTTTGCGAGCGCAAAATCCTTGAATAGTTTTTAATTAAATCCGACGAGCGGAACTCGGTTAAGAAATAGGATTCTAGTACAACGAGAGATGCCTAGAATTTTAATGAAGGCTTCGGATTGCCATTTCAATTTTCATTGTTCTCTTTTCACAAATGTCAACGAAGTCAATAATTTGATGCGATCTCCAACGGAGGATTTCACAACATCGCTCAATAAGTCATCGGATCAGTCGGTCCTATCTTTTTGTTAAACGTTCTTTAAGAACTCCAAGAATTCCACGTTTTTGTGTTGCAGAAGGATTATCTTTGGAGTTTGAGTGAATGTCTCAAAGGATTTTCCCTCAAAGCTTAACTCAAATTATTTTGTTGACAAAACAATATCGACATTATTTATTGCCCGTTATCTGTAGATGATGCGATGTGCTTTTAGATATATTAGTTTTATATTGATTTTTGACAAACGAACGGGCAATTGCTTATCCTCTGTTCTTTTAAACTTTTATCATTTCGTGATGTTTCACTCCGCCATGACAAATCGATAAACACCTAAATTGCTCGCCGAGTGTTTTCAAAATGCTTAAAACTCTCATTTGCGTTATGAATAACAAAGTTATATATCCGAAATCAGAAAAAGTCCTTTAGGAAAAATTCTGCAGTGTTTTCAGGCGTGGGTTAATTCTCATACAAATTGAATAAGGCGTCCCATTAAGTGCGCAAGAATGAAGTGACCCTGTGGGTACAATATTAAACATGCATGAAGCTGCCTGCTCTCAGCTCAGCTCTTTCTACTATACGGGCTAATGTAAATTACGTAGATTACGAATTTCCCTAAATTTCCCATCTAATGACTGTTTTATTTTTTCCAACATTAAACTTTCGCTGCGTATCAGAAAATTGTTTTTCGAGCGTAATCGGTTTTAGTAAATTACAGCGCGGGTTTTGGCTTACGTTAATCAAAGTTTATTATTTCATGCGTGGAAGGTTCTCAGAACTTATTGAGTCGGAAACCGAACGAGGAAGATTTGCTTCTAATTACTAAGGGTAAACAAGTGAACACTAAATTGTCACATTTTTTCGATGACGCTTGTTTACCGTCGAGTAATGGTGTGAAAAATCGATAAGGGTGTCGCAAAAAAAGTTAGTGTTAATGATACATGCATCATTTATTATTAGAGGGCGAAACCAATTTCGAGAGTTGAATTTTCTGTTGAAATGTGGGACGAATATCGAATGGACCATGAGCATGCTTGAAATCATTCACGATTGATAAATATGTATGCAATTACACCGGTTCGTGGTATTTGGCCACGTATGGGATAATTAAAACCGTTGGCAAAACACTTTTTCGTCGAATTCTGCATAGCATTGTCAATAAAAGCATGGTCAGAATGACAGTTTAGCAATTAGAGCAGCTTTTAATTGGGAAAAAACGAGCACGGAGCGGATATGCCAAAAGTTAAATTGTTGCACGGAAAGCGGGAATACAGATAATAAAAGCCATGTTTACCCGTCCGATTGCGCCTCGTGCTGAAACCGTTGTTTATCTCCACGGAGCAACGTTTTCCAATTTTATTGACAAGCGAACGTGCAGTTGACTTAAAAAATATCAATTGACCGATGCTTCCGCCGTAATAGATTTAGTTTGGGAGAACAGGGAGAGAATCGATCCGAGATGTTAAATTATTTAGATTTTCCAGGAACGCAGACAACGTAATTGCCGTGTTTGACTTCGGCGAAGTACACGATGTAACTGACCACCTGTTGAAGATGAGAATGCTAACAGTTTTTCGTCGCGGTTTCAAAATCCCCACATCTGTTTCCCGAGTCGGCCGTTTCCACGTGTGAGAATCCCAAAGCGTGTTCGGAATATTCGGGTGGACCTTTCTTGGGTCGCTGCCCGAGATTTGAGGTCGGACCAAATGTTGCAGTCCCGACTTATATGGCGGCAGACGGGACATAAAATCACCTAAATATAATGTGAATTGGTGGATTCCCGAATGGTACTTTTCGTTCATTCATAAGCAACCGAAACCGAAGCCTCTGGTTATTTAAGACAGCTAATAACGTTTCACTAGAACAACTACAACTTAAACGAGGGAACGCACCTGTTGGTTACGAACATTAACTCTTGAATATATTATTATCATCACCACGAAGCAAGAACGATTTTATCATCATTAGAAAACAAAAAGGTATCAGAAGAAGGTCTTGTCACATACGTATAAACTGACAACTGACTTTGATCACTTCCTTTGAAGAAGTCACGCTGAAATGGAATTGCGGACGAGCTCAACAAGATATGACAGCCGGATGTAATCCATGTCCATGGAAGGTCCGAATTTTAATTCGTTCTACATAATTCCACAAACTAACTCAAGTTTCGACACCGGAGGATTGTTACTTTATCAGTTCTTTCATGTTTTTAACTTTGCCGTCCCGAAATATCGGTAAATCTCCCAAGGGAAGGTCCTCGTTCATCTTTTTTTAGTTAAACGATTATTACAATCAATTGTTGTACAAGTGAATGTTTTCTGTTCGATCCATGGTAAAAGTCGAGTCGTTTGGTTTATTTTTGGCTTTGCGTTTGCAGTAACCTTTTAATACAAAATCTCATCGATTACATGAATAGGTAGCCACCGTTGCATAGAAACGAGGGTAAACTGCAAAATCGTGTGCATCCCTTACACGGAAATGCACGCCTTGGAACAAAAACAGCCCGGATCAGGGGCGTACATCAGCCTGGAACAGGTTGATCCGGTCAACTAATGAACTGTAATCCTTCAATAATGAGCGGGGGAACGGTACGCGTCGATGGGCTTTAGTTTTGGCGTCACTTCCTCTTCGTCCTTTTCGTCCCTGGGATCCGGAGCACCGGAACCTTCCTTACAGTCTAGCAGTTCCAATTACACACTTGGGATAATTAGAGTACGGCGCTGCAAACACGTCGCGTGAGTGACATTTAATCGATTGTTTTATTTTTGTTGTTTTGTAAAAAAAGAAAAATTAGTCGTGGGAAGGATCGTGCTGCGTCTTCGCTTTGATCTTAATTTCGTTTTAATTTCTTGGCGCATATCGTCTTCTTGTATGGCAAAATAAATACAATGTTAACTCGAGAAAATAATAAACTGCTGTGTACTTAATAGCTCCTGCAGGAAATTAATTAGAAAGTATCAAAGAAAATTACAGCGATAGCATCTTGTCACTACGAAAGACGATGTTCCACCTCGGAGGGTTTAACTTCTGAATAATAAATTATCAAACCCACGTAACCAATTTTCCTCAAAATAAACAACTTTCCCTCGAAATTGTGTCGATTTTAATTTATTTTTGGCGTGTTTATTTTTGTTTCCTTTTTGTTAAACAAACAGACGAACATATCTAAACTTCGTCGGAACATGCTTATAAGTCTCGCGCTAAATATACTGATTATCGCTTTAAATTACAAAGCAGGATTAATTACATCTTTGTTTCGTGACTCTTAATTTGCTAGAGGGCTATTTTGAGCACTATTGCAGACACTTCAGATGTAGCTGTTGTAAATAATTGATAATGTGGTGACACATTTTGTTCCATTCTTTTCAGATATTCTGTCTGGCGAATTTGGAGCGCAAATCCGAAAGTGAAACGTGGGAGGTTCTTTGAAGCATCGTTTTGGTTTACCAGCGGTGAAAAAGGGACGAGCTTTTAAAAGCTACACCCTTGGAATGTGCGAAAAACCAATTTGAAACGCTTAGGAACCATCTTTTCCGTGGTTTTGTGATATTCTTTTTTACAAAAACGGCGGTGTTTCAAGCAAACGCTGTAAGAGAAAATTAAATCGTATCGCTTGAAAGTTTGTAAAATTTTTATTAGCCGGAGCTATAACTCTTGTACTTAACCAATTAAAACAAAATTATAACGAGTTTAAGTAATGAGAGCGTAATTAGAAACCCGTGTAGATGCTCAGGTTAATGAAGTAATAGAGCCTTTATTAACTGCTATTAAAGTTTACAACGATATAGCTAACGCAACGTCTTTTAGTGTGAGTTAAATCTTTTGAGAAGCATCTCGGTCTCAAAACTGTTCGTTTATACGACTGTGCTTTGGAAACACTTAACGAGCAGGTGCTCTCCATAAAGCTATTAATGGAGGGATTTTCTCGTTAGTTGGTCTCTATTTTGCAGTTGATCTGGTTTT